GGTCAATAGACTAAAAAAACCGAAATAAAGTACAAGGAAGAAGATCGAAGTCAAATTACCGGGCTCTCTCTTTTTCCAGTTTATAGGTCGGCCAGGAATTTGGGCTTGAAAATCCTCAAAGTTCCCAGAGACCCAGAAAAAATCATCATCATTAAGGTCTTTGTCCGGTGTGTGCTTAATTATCTTCTCTCGGCGGCGGCGGATCCTAAGGTAATAGACCCACCCAGCATCTTTCGAGCCTATGGAATACTGATGGAAAATTTCGGCCAGGCCGAGGTTTAGTCCGGTTTGGTGGTTTAATACGGCTATTCCCATAATAATACGGTATGTATTGGTGGACAGTTGAGTGGGGCATAACCTAGTCTGCCTAAGAAATTTGCAGATCGACGGTTGGACAGGAAACCGTAGTCCGGTTTCTATTATGGATTGAAGGGTAAAAGGGACGAAGCCTTCATTTTCCCAAGGAATAACATCTTTTTTGGCCAACTCCAGGTGGACGTCATCAGGAATTTGGTAATCTTTCCTAAAATCGGCCATGCCATCAGGGGTCTCAACTAGATACCTATACTTACCCATCTGATGAATAAATTACTTATAATTTATATCGGTGCAAAAATCGTGCTCAGTAGCTCGGTTGAGCGCACGCAGGAGTGCCTGGGTAACCTAAGTCTGCAAAGTAAAAAACAGAGGGGGTTAAAGCACTGATCAACGGACCGTGCTACAATTTAAAAGCAAGGTATAAACGCCCTACTTCGGCCTCAAAAGACTAGTTCTATCTCGGTTCATCAAAAAGGTTGGGTAGCTCGGTTTGAGCAGTTTGCTCGTTAGACCGGTTTGACGTCTAGGGGCAGCTTTCTGAGTTCGGTCTAAAAAACTAAGAAAGTTGGTTTAGCCCCAAGGCCAAAATCGGTTACAATATGAATAGAGTTACTTCGGTTAAGCCTCTAGGGGCGGCTTTCGGAAGATCGGTTTAGGAACCAAGAAAGCCGGCTTGGCCCCAAAAGCTTAGTTCGGTTGAAAACCGAGGTTCCTAGTTTGATATGTTCAAAACTCGGCGATCTTATTTCGGCTAGAGTAAAGTGAGACGTTAATGACTCTTGGAGCCTTTCAAGTTCTAGTTCGGCTATTGGCTGAAGTGATCTACCAATATTGGACAAACACTGGAAGAAAAATGTTTTGCAAAAGCAAGCAGAGCGTGGAAAACAGAATATAAAATCAAAACAAAGGAAAGGAAAAAGGATTGCTTACCAGGAAAAGATGAAGCAGAGGACGGGAGCAACGGCACCAACGAAGAACACAGACTCAGGAGGCTCAGAGGCTGGAGAAGCAGAGGCACAGAGAGAGAAGAAGGTGAATGGTTCAAAGGCAGAATGATCGTTTTGTGGAAGGAGAGAGAAAGGGCGGGAACTGTTCAAAAATTTCGTACTACGAGGGCGGTGTGACAGCTGCTCCCAGCCAATCAGAGCCCGCCACGTGTCATTGGAATGGGAAGCGTTACATTCGCTGTGAATGAAGAGACGTTTTGACCGGACATAGTGAAGCCCGAAGTAAAATTAGCTCGGTAGGAGAGCCCGAGGGTTTTCCGCTCGGCTGGAGAGGCTAAAGGGTTTTTTAGCTCGACTGGAAAGGCTTAATAAACTCTAGCTCGGCCAGCAGACTGGTAATCCCAATCATGTAGAGCAGATGGAATTAAGGGGCAATTGAGAGGGTAATTTTTGGGAAAAATTGGGCCGAGCTGCGAGTTGGGCTTTGAGGCCCAAAAACGCGAAAGACTAAGTAAAAAAGGCTGTAATGGATACTCCGGCCCAGGAGGACAAAGTTACTTCGGTTAGAGGATTGTAAATGTACTCCGGCCCAAGGAGGAGAAAATACTTCGGCTCACAAATGATAAAGTTACTTCGGTTAGAGGATTGTAAATGTACTTCGGTCTAGGAGCAACTTGAAGTTAGACCGGCCTTGAAGTTATATCGACCCTAGAGGTATACCGGTTTGGGAGTTATACCGGTCGAGAGTCGTTGGTTCGGTCAAAACACTATAGGTTGAACAGGGGCAGCCGAGGTAAGGAGTTAGAGGAGAAGACCGAGCTAAGGACAAGTTCGGCCCTCTGTGGCTCGGCATAGCCAATTTTACTTCGGTCACATGGAAGTTCGGCCATGGAGAAAACCATCCCACTTGGTTTAAGCAGTGGGGGAGGGTGTAAAAGGATAAGCATTATCCTTTGGAGTATGAATCCTAGGAGGACTCTGCATGGAGAAATACAAGTCCTACCAGGATTGTGCCACGGGAAACTTATAAAAGCCCATAAACATCACCTTGGAGGAGGTAATTGAACACAACCTTCCTGAGAACTTAAAGCTTTGTCTATTTGTCAAGTTTTCTGACTTAGGCATCGGAGAGGTTTCCGGCACACACCTGCCGGCTAGCTCACGTTTGTGTTTTCAGGTGATAAAGCGACGTCGTACGGAGGAGCGTGGACTTGGTCAACAGGATTATACGAGGAGAATTATTTCCTCCCCGTACATTATTTAAAAAAAAATAAATTAAATTGATATTAATTTTTTTAAAAACACAAAAGATACTTTTACTTATTTTTAAAATAATCATTATTGACCATCTGCCACCACCATGAGCAATCAAACATCATCCGAAGACTCTTCGACAAGTTTTGATTACCTTTTGACAAGCTCTAATAATACTTAGATGGTAGATGCACGTGATTTTTGATGATTTTCTAATCACTCTATAACCTTCGATGGAACTTCGATGACAAACTCAAAAAATCACTTTCACCGACAATAAGAAATAATACATATTTTAAAAGTCAAAATTATTTAAACTCCAACCAAAATTCTTTGGCATGGCCATGGATTTAAGAACAACCCAAATGGGCGCTCTCATTGTATCTACACATATTCCTCATTAATTACCCAATGGGGGACAGTAGGGTCCTCACTGAAGACAGTGCCCAATTCAGGGTGAGAGTGGGACATTCAAACAGTGAGTCTCCAAATCCTAAGTTGATCCAATCGTGAAAACTTGATAACAAAATACAAAATATCGAGTCCAAATTACTTCAAGAGACAATTGAATATTTACCTAATTATTAAATTTAGAATTTAAATTGAGCTGAAATTAATAGTTAACTCATGTAATGCACGAGTTATTTTTGTAAAAAAAAAGAAAAAAGATAATACAATATGTGTTATAAAAAAATAATTTAAAATTAAAATTAAAATTAAAATATGATTTCAATTATTTTTCTAATAATATTTTTCTAATAAAATTAAAATTATTTTTCTATAAAATTATTACTTAAATACTTATATATATTAATTTTATTTAAATTATTTGTATATTTTGATAATTTTAATTCTATAGTATTATAAAAGTATAATTATTATATAATAATTTTGTATGATATATATTAAATTATAAAATAGTAAAATAAATATTTATTTTAATATTAAAAGTAATAGTTAAATTAGAAGAAGAATTAGTAATATAAAATTAAAAGTAATTATAACTATTTAATTTTCTTTTATATTCATTTGGAAAATAAAAATATGTAGAAATAGAAATTATATAAAATTTATTAAAAAATCAAATATAAATATGTTGTAGTTAGATTATCATGTAATGATTTTATAAAATAGGTAAAATTAATATAATTTAAATTATGTTTGGATTTGTATAGAACTCTATATGTAATTAAGAAAATACATACTGATATGTCTTTCTTAAAAAAAAAAAAAAACCCTTATAAACATGAGAAAAATATTATTCTTAATAGGGCAAATTACATATACACCCCTCCAGGTTTGGTTAAATTACAGATACGCCCCTGAGGTTTCGGAAATTACATCCCGCCCCCTGAGGTTTGTATTTTCATAACAATTATATATATATTTTTAATTGTACCATTCGAAGAAGACATTAACAGACCAGCTCACAGTCTTGAGCCTCATTTTGGCCACGTGAAATTCTCAGGAACCCACGTCAGGATCCTTATTATTGGCCCTTCCTAATGGGCCCGATTTTGGCAATAAAACAACTGACACTTTTATTCATCCCAACCGTCCACGTGTCACTCCCTCTGGTACTAAAACTAGCTATTGATGAAAATTAAAATAAATAAAAAAAAAGTTACAATTAAATGGATTTCTTATGTTAGGCATAAATATTGTAGAATGCACATTATAAATAAATAAATGTAGGACTGAGGTTTTTGTTCTTAGTGATAAGAAAATATAAAAAAATTATTGGAGAATTTTTTTTAAGGTCTCTTATATTAAAATTTTATAAGATAAGGGGTATATAATATTTTTATAATAGTTAAGGTCCCTCAAAATTTATATAGAGAAAATTTTGATTTAGAATTTTTTTGCCCAATAGAGAGAAATTTTGTCCTGATTCAGAATTTTCTAAGAGAAATTTCTTTGATTTTTTTGAGTCAGGGCCGAAATTTCTCTGAGCCGGGTAACATTTCTCTAAGTCAAGAAAAACTTATCTTTATTGAATTTTCTCTGTGAAAATATTAAGAGACATTAACTAATAAAAAAAATATCCTGGACCTCTTTTACTACACAAAGTTACAGAGAGATATTTCACTAAATTTTTCAAAATTATTTATGTATAATATTATTATTTAAAAATCAAAACCCTCTCTCTCCAATTTTTTTTTAAAAAAAAAATCACAACATATTAATAAAGAGTGTATCTTAATCTGTGCTACATTATAGAGTGGTGAAAGATTTGGTAAATTATTTGTATATATATTTGTTAAAACAAAACCTAACAATGGAAAAATCAATTTTCCCATTAACTAGAAAATAACTTTTTAACATTTACTAAACACATTATTCAAAAAAAAAAAAAAAAATTGGGAAACATAATTTTAAAACTTTAAAAAGAGTTTTAGCTTTTTAACATTTACTAAACACATTATTCAAAAAAAAAAAAAAAGGTTGGGAATTCTAATTTTAAAACTCTAAAAAGAGTTTTAGTGATATGATAAGGAGTGAGACCTACATATGATGTGATGTGTGTATTTTTATTTTTATTTTTTTTCTCTCACCACATCACTAAAACTCTTTTTAAAATTTTAAAATTAAAACTCTCTAAAATAAAAATAATAATGAAACCAACTCTCAGCCTCTGTCTCTAAATAATTTATTTTCTCACTCTCTCGGTATATACATAGGGAGCAGGACTTGTTTGGTAAGATTCAAACAGATGTATCTCGGTGTCACTCAAACGCTTCCCAAGATTCCACTATGTGAGTGAAACTCACTTGCTTTCCACCCAAATAAAATATATAGACTAATGAAACTCACACACCATTTCCTATGTAAAAAAAAAAACAATTTGCCAGAAAACAAACAACACAGAGAGTGTTAATTTATGTGAACTCTTTTTACCGTTAACACAAAACCAATTTAGTACTAGTTTTTTTTTTTATTTATTTATATTTTTTTAATATTCAATGGATGTGATCTATCTTCCTCTTTGTTTAGCCAATCTCAAAAAAGAGGTTTTTATTCTCTGCACATTTGCTTTTCTTCAGAAGAAGGAAAAGCAGTGCCTGATTGGTTAATTTTGTGCTGTTAGTTGTGATATTGAACTCTCTGCCATGCTGAATATATGGAGATTTGTGAGCTTCTTTATGTGTTTTGCACTTTAGTGTTCAAGAGTGTAACAAACTAATATATATATATATATATATTTTTAATTTAGGCGGGAATAAACTATTTTAGTAATTTTTTAATTTTTTAATTAAAATATAAGGTAAAAAAAATATTTGGGATGACCTTTTGACTTTTTACGAAAAGATATGCAAAAAGTAGAGAGAAAAAAGAATCTTTGACTTTTTGGTATAGGTTATAGGCTTTTTGATTTTTTTAACAATTTTTTAACTTTTTGACTAAAATGTTAACTTGCCAAACAAAACTTTATTTACAATGAGTTCTATTTTCCTTTTTATTACGTGACATCCATTAGTAAAAATGCTTGATTTGAATAACATTTTCCTAAACTATGTAGTGTAGAAATTTGTCAAATGAAACGAAAAAAAATAAATAAATGAAATATAAGTTGATTTTTTTACTTTTTTTCTTTATTTTTATTTTCTTTCCACAAATTCTCTCTCAAATTTTTAATTCAAACACATCTTAAAATCAATATCAATTATTTGTTACGAGTTAGACTTTGAAAATATTGACATGAAAAAAATAGTCTTTTAAAATGAATAATGCTATTGATCATCAATTTTCATGATCAGATTTTGTCATATAATAAGTTAATCTTGTAGTTATATTATTATATTGGAGATATAAAGTGGTAGGACTATTACATTAATATTGTGTTGACAAGTAAAATGCGATATTATTTTTAAATTCTTCATATAAATTATAAAATTTTAAACGTGAAATAAATTGTACCAAAGTACAATAATTCATTGCTGCGATGGCAACAGTTTAAACAAGACATCACACTCGGGGTCTGGTTGTGTTTTCATTGCATTTTGTTTCATACAACAAATAAGGCAATGGTGGTGGTCAGTTAAAAGGGCAGACAAGTCACCACAGCTTTTCTCTCCATGGTGAGTTGGTAAAACACATGAAATTCACAAAACCACTTATTCCCAATTCAACACCAAGAAAAAAAAAATTCTTGACATTGTTGACTTCTTGTACTTTATTGCTTAGCTTTCCTTCAAGATCACTTTTCTCTTTAGGCTTTTCAAGCCTCCAAGTTGTTACTTGTTAGTTCTCTTCACAAGTCATACAATAGATTGCTGTTGCAGAAAAGAGAGGCATTAGTGTTTGTGGATAGCCTGAACATAAATCTATGGTGTATAGCTTTCCAAAGTGCCAGATCTGTAAGTGCAGTTGCTTTGTTTTTTCAGTTTCGGTTATGTTACGAACACATAAATAAACATGAATGGATAAGATTAGTGGGGTTCACTATTAGAAAGATCTTGTTTATTCATATATATATTTTGTGTCTAATTCTACGACCTACCGGTTTATATGTTTGTAGACTTGTTCTTTCTGTTTAAGATCTGGGTCTACTTGGGGTGTCTACATTTCACAACCAATAGACAAAGTGGGTTGAAGGGATTTGAGAGAGGGAGAGTTTGGTGACAATTTGGTCATCTTTTGTGTCTATTTCTAGACTCTTTTTTTTTTTTTTTTGTTTGAGATTTGGGTCTTGTATTCTTACTTGGGATATACATTTCACAACCAAAATACAAAGTGGGTTGAAACCAGTTCTCAAGTGGGTTAAAGGGGTTTGAGAGAGAGAGAGAGAGAGAGAGAGAGAGAGTTTGGTGACAATTTGGTCCACCACAGAGTGTTTTTAAGTATTCTGTTTCAGGTCAGAGAGTGAAAATGAGGTCTATAGAGGATAAGGGGTGCTTGAACTATGGACCGACACAGGAGATTTCAAGCAGCAATAATAGTACTGCTATGACTTTTGAGTTTCACAAAGGAAATGGAACAAACCGGGCTTCCCATCACCGAACAGCGCTGGGCAAACCGACACCATCGAAGTGGGATGACGCACAAAAATGGCTAGTAAATTTGTCAAGAGGAGGAGGGGGAGGGGGAGGAGAGAAGAACCAATCCAAAACCAAGCCGAGGAATTCGAATGCCGATGACAGGAGACTAATTGCTCCAGTCCCGAAAAAAGAGGACTATTCGAGTGGCGATGAGGAGGTAGGAGGAGAGGGAAATGAATGCCATATTGATTTTGCAAATTCAATCCATTTTGATGTGGAGACTAAGAAAGTAGACCGTGAAGAGTCTATTTGGCGAATCAATAAGCCGGCACAGAGTCCTGTGTCGGTGGTTAGATCGATATGTGTGAGGGATATGGGGACAGAAATGACCCCAATTGCTAGCCAAGAGCCTTCTAGAACTGCTACACCTATTAGAGCTACTACTCCTGCGGTTAGGAGCCCAATTTCGTCGGGCTCCTCAACCCCGGTTAGGGCTCTTGAGAGATCTCAGACCGGTTTGACACCGGAGGAGAGCAGAGGCGATGAGGGGAGGGGCGGTGGTGGCAATAGAGGGGGTAGTAGGGACTTGGAAGAAACCAGTCCCGGGAAAGGAGGTGAGGGAAAGAACTTGGAACAAGCTCAAAAGATGAATCATCTGGAAACTCAGGCCATCGCTTGGGATGAGGCAGAACGTGCCAAATACATGGCAAGGTGTGTTGTTTTGCCTACATTTTATTCGATGAATTGATCAATAGACCTGGTAAAATGATATATAAGTTTGTATTGTGCATTTACAGGTATAAACGTGAAGAGGTGAAGATACAAGCTTGGGAGAATCACGAGAAGAGAAAAGCCGAAATGGAGATGAAGAGAATGGAGGTACTTAAAATCTAGATCTACATTTTACTAATCATCACTTTGCATAGTTTGTAGATACACATAGAACTAAACTAACTATTGATTGATTGATTCTTTCTCATAGAACTAGCTATTTGTCATGGTACTGTTTTTATCGTAGTAATATAAATTTGGTTTCATGAACTTGATTTGTGATGTGATGATTTGATTTCATTAATCAGTCATCATGTTTTGTATGTCTCTTGCCTAGTGCTCTATTTTCTGAATCTCACTGAGAATTCTTAGAAAAATCAACATTACTGTTCACCTGTGAAGCATGGAGACTTCATTTTAGTTGCCATGTTCATGTCTGACACATCTCAGACAATGACACTCCTCGGACATGTCATAACACTTGCAAGGTCATGGGTGTCGTGTCCAGATGTGTCAAGCCCAGTGCACACCATATGTTAGGATTCTTGAAAATATAAGGTAGTTTGAGCATGTCAAGGGCAGGGCAGCATAATGGGCTACTAGAGGTTATTGTGTGAAACGCTTGGAGATAACCCACTTAGGCCAAGTTTGGGAAGACTAAATAAGTGTACTTTTTGACTTTTCTTGTATTATGTGTAGAAAAAGTAGAGAGGAGATGTTGATTGATGTAACCCAAAAAAGATAAAAAGATGAAATAAGTACACTTTTTTAGTTTAGCCAAACTTGGCCTTAGTGTGCAACACATAGTTGTACATATTGGTCAAAACGATTTAACAAAATATGGTATCGAAGAATAATTCATCTACCATTTTTCACACCAAAAAAAAAAAGAAGGAAAAATATAACGAAAGACTGTCAGATTTCTATTTTTTAAAAATTAAACTGCTTCCAAATTCCAATATGCCAACCAAATTATGCTCCAAGTGTTATGTACAAGTTTATATTCATTCACTGTCTTCATCCTTTGTGCCCTTTAGGTCAAGGCTGAGCGATTGAAAGCTCGAGCACAAGAGAGGTTGGCGAACAAACTTGCTGCAACGAGGAGAATAGCAGAAGAGAAGCTTGCAAATGCCGGGGCAAAACTAAATGAAAAGGCTGTTACGACTTCTGAACGTGCGGATTATATAAGGAGGACCGGTAACCTTCCCTCTTCCTTCTCCTTCAAGTTGCCTTCAATCTGTTGGTAGCTACTCTTTTGTGTATTTAAGCTCAATATTTGATGCTGGTAAATTTTGTTGTACTACGTATTTTTTCTTTTCCAAATAAAACTCGTGGACTAATTTACTGTTCTTGAATAAATTTTGAATACTCAATGCTATGTGATGGTTTTTTCAGTTTTAAGTATGTAATTTTTAAGAGATTGTAATTCTTGGTTATCATAAATTGGTGATTATTTGCATTGCCTATGGTTAACATGAACCAAATCGTGTCGAGTGCTTAATGTTGTGTTTGGTTGGGGGACTTAGAGAGGGATTTAGAAAGAGAAATGGAAAAGGTAGGTGAAATGTGAATAAAACATGCCTATATTTCACCTAGTTTCACACACCTTTTCCCTTTTCAAATCCCTCCTCAAATCCCCTAACCAAACACAACATAAGTGATTTATATTGTAAAATTTTATCTCTTTATATACGTTCTGTGTTCCATTATGTATTTGTAGCGTAACTGTTAAAAAACTAGAAGTGAGACTTAACTCATGGGCTGGGCTGCATATTGTGAGAGGGGCGGTGCTTTATACTGTTGTTTATTGTTTGGTATTTAGAAACTTTTCCTTTAATGGTAAGAAAACATAATAACGTATCGAGCAAAATGATGGCAAAGTCGCCCTTCCACCCATTCTCTCGCCACGCCTCAATAACAGACCTCCACCACCATAACAGAGGTGAGCCTACCCCACCTCCTCAAGGCCACCACCACTGCATCACCTGCCACCACCCATAGAAGTAATCTCTCTCTCTCTCTGTTTCTATCTCTCTTTCCATTTGTATATATATTGGGAGTTGAGAGGGTAATTTTTGGTAAAAATTGGGCCGAGCTATGTGGTGGGCTTCGTGGCCCAAAGCACCAAGGACTTGGTAAAAAGGCCGCAAGGTTATTCAGGCCCAGGAGAGATAAAAGACACTCCGGCCCAAGCTGTTAAAGTTACTCCGGTTCAAGAACGATAGATTTACTCCGGTTCTGAGGAGATGTTGACTTACTTCGGTCAAAAGAGATAAAGTTACTTCGGCTAAAGGAATGTAAAGCTGCTTTGGTTTTGACAACTTGAGGTAGTCCGGTCATGATTGAATTCGGGATAGGTCGGTTGTAATGTTGTTACTCAGTGGATCGGTCCAAACACACCACGGTTCATGTATGAGAGAACCGAGATATGGTGTGGCATGAGGAAGAACCGAACTACTGTTAGTACGGCCTACTTTGTGGCTCGGCATAGCCATTTTTACTTCGGTCAAATGGAAGTTCGGCCATAAAGAAGACCATCCCACTTGGTTTAAGCAGTGGGGGAGGGTGTAAAAGGATAAGCATTATCCTTAGGAGTATGAATCCTAGGAGGACTCTGCATGGAGAAATACAAGTCCTACTAGGATTGTGCCATATGAAACTTATAAAAGCTCACAAACATCACCTTGGAGGAGGTAATTGAACACAACCTTTCTGAGAACATAAAACTTTGTCTATTCATCAAGCTTACTGACTTAGGCATCGGAGAGGTTTCCGGCACACACCCGCCGGCTAGCTCACGTTTGTGTTTTCAGGTGATAAAGCGACGTCGTACGGAGGAGCGTGGACTTGGTCAATAGGATTATATGAGGAGAATTATTTCCTCCCCGTACAGGAGTGTTTGCCAAAGATTGGACATTTTGTTGTGATGAATTTGGTAGGTTGATGGTGATTTTTAATGGGTTTGGTAGGGACCCATGCAGTGGCTGTCATGGTGTGGGAGAGGCAAGGTGGTAGGGATAAGGCAGAGAAGAGACAAAAGAGGCTGCTGTGGACCTGTGATAGTAAAGGAGGGTGAAAAAAAGAAAAGATAAAATTGATATTTTGATAAATTAAATTTCTGACAAAATCGTTTTTTTAGCAGTATGATTGTAGATTATATCATCTAATCTAATCTAATCTAGTTTAACCTAACCAAACAGGTCTTAAGCCTCTCATCACCATACAAAGATCTCAATTCATTGAGCCTTCGTTGGCATGCCAACTTTTTTTAGCTTTTTGACTATTTTAGTTATAAAAATATAAAATATGCTAAAAAATTAATAAGATAAAATGTCACATTTAAATTATAATCATTTTATTTTTTCCCTCGTGAAAGTCAAAAAAGCCAACAAGTTTATTCCAAACGAGACTTTTTAGTCTCAGATTAAAATAATTAAAAAGTTAAAAAATTAACTCACATCCCAAATGAATCCTAAATTTCATTTCGTTGAGGCTTGAACCTCTACCCTCTCTGTGGGGTGTGGGAGTGATATTGACCATCAAAGTCTGTTGGTTAAGAAGAGGTTTAATTGATATGTGGTTTGAAATCTTAGGGGCGCAGAGTGTATTTTTTCAGAATTTGTGAAGGTAAATTGTATTTTTGACAAAGGTAAATTACAAAAATTTATATGAATTTTACTTTCTTTTCATTTTTTAATTAAAACAATTAAGTTTGTATACTGTGATTGTGTTTTAATATGATTCTTTCATTACTTACCGTTGATAATTATGACATAAAGTATACATGTGACCCCCATTTCAGTACATTTTAGGAACACCATATGAAAGAATTATATGGCAAAAAACGTCTTTTACCTTTTAACTTAAAATTAAACTATACATTGACCCCATTATGTTCAAACTTTTACTCAGGTTTTAGTTTTTTATTAAAATCTTAAATGGTTGGGGTAACCAGAGAATTATATTAAAACGTGGGTTTAAACTTAGCCTCCGTTTGGAAGTGAGTTGACTTTTTAGTTTTTTTTGAATTTTTTAGCTATTTTAATCTGAACTAAAAAGTTTGATTTAGGAAGAATTTTTTGACTTTTTTGATTTTTTTGACTTTTTTTGTGAGAGAAGAGTGTAATGATTATGGATTTAATATGATGTTTTGTTTGTTGTGATTAAAATAATTTATTTTATTTTTTATAATTAAAATAGTCAAAAAAATCTCAAAACTTTCTTCCCAAACGGTGCCTAATTATTAGTAGATAAGAGAGAGAAATTTGAATAAAAATTCAATGCACAACTTTTCATAAACTTTAGAAGTATTTGTAACTTATCAGAAAAAGATGAAAAAAAGAAAAAGGAAACAAAGTGAGCTAATTTTGATATTTAACCATTGTTATTATCAAAGGAAATTATTTAGTGTGTTTGGTTTCAATTTTCTGAATTCAGTTTTTTAAAAATTGAATTTTTTATTTTTTGTATTTTTTTTTGTTTTTAGTGAATTTTTTTAAATTTTAAGTAATTTTTTATTTTTTTAAATATACCTTACTTGATGTATTTAAATTGTAAAATATTTATAAAAATTAATAAATACACAAAAACATGAAAAATGTATTGAATTTTTATATTTTTTCAAATATTTTTTTGGTATTTAGTGTATTTTTTAAAGATTTTTTAAAATTTTTTTTCACAAATATTATATTTTTAAAGTGTATTTATGTTAGGCGAGTCTAAAAATTAAAAAAAAATTGTTTAAAATAATAAAAAAATTCATTAAAAATATTAAAAAATAAAAAATAAAAAAGTAAATTTTTTTAAGAATTATTTTCTAAAAATCAGAACCAAACAAATTGAATCGACTCTTAAATTTATTTTTTTAAAATTTGAATCCCTCAATTACTAATTTTTTAGCAGCAACAATAAATAACTATCTAAATTTTGAAGGACACTTTATTGTAATTTTTTCTCTCCCTATTTTACACCAAGGATCCTCTAGAGTTCTCTAAAGTTTCCTAGAGTGCTACATTGTATGGTTGAGATTTACTGGCAAGTCACATCAGAAAAATTGATATAACTTGTCAGTAAATCTCAACCACACACAATATAGCACTCTAAGAAACTTTAGAAAAAAATCACGTTACTCCCTATTTTGGCCCATGCCGCCCATGTGCTCCATCAGGGGATTTGATGGCACATGCCAACTGGAACACTTTGACTGAGTCATCGTTTGGAATTTCATTTTTAGTTAAAAAATTAAAAAATTATTAAATTAATTAAAAAGTTAATAATTTATATTAAAAAGTTAAAGATTTTTTTTTCCTTTTTATTTTTTTCAAATCTTTTCGTAAAAAGTTAAAAAATTATCTCAAACATACTAATTTTTTTTAGTTCATATTTTAGTCAAATAATCAAAAAATTACTAAATTAGTCTGTTCACAAACGAGCCCGGAATCGAAAGAAAAAAACAATTGAGAATATTTTTGGGACTAAAATGTAATTTACATTTATATTATTAAACAAATAAAATAATTGAGAGGGATCAATTCGCGTAAATAAAAGCAAATTTCAAACAGTGTCTATGGTCTCGCGACTTCGCTGCTCTTTTCCTACTGCCCTCCGATTTTGGGGATTTTCTCTCTCTAGAAGCGTCGCCGCCCTTTCTCTCTCTAGCAATCTCATCGTTCGATCGATCGATCAATCGGTAGGCTCGCTTTCAAACTCAATTCGCATGAGAGGGAGAGAACGAAATATTTATCCACAGTTTCTAGGGTTTTTGTTTTTGTTTTGGGTGTTGTTTCTTCGATTGTATTCGTTTTCTAGGGTTTGACTTTCGATACCCTTCTATGTATTTGCAAAATTGCGAGCATCCAAGCACCAACAAAGAAATTGGAATAGTTGTCCGTTGTTTTTGTGTTTAAAATTCTCGTACTTGTTATCAGATCTGTGTTTGATTGGTTGTGTCAAATTGTGTTCTTTGGATTTTGGGTTCTAAAAATACTATAAATATTGTTCGGATTGATTGGGTGATTTTAGGGTTAGGGTGTTATTAGATAAGGAAATTTGGAGGAGTTTCTATTGGAGGGTTTTTGTTTGGAGTGTTGGCTTTTGGATATATATGGCGGCAGGTAGGCATGGGGTTTATCATGACAACGAATTTAGGGATCATGAGTCAGAGGTTGATGTTTCAAGGCGGGATTTTTCGTATTCCAAGGGTGAGTATGATAGAAGTAGAAACAATGATCATGACTACGACAGGGGTCGAGGTCGTGACCGAGGGATGAGGGATAGGGTTAGGGGTAGACAGAAGGATGTTAAAGAGAGGGACATAATTAATGGTGGATACCGTTCTGCTTCGAGTAAGAGTGATCCGGGTGCTGGTGGTGGTGGTCCAAGACGCTGTGGGTTTTCAGTAAGAGTCATGGACCGCGAGCCGGGTGAATTGTCCAGTGAAAGTGGCTCTGATGAGGCTATTGATTCGGAATCACAGGTTAAACCGATTGAGGCTTCAAAGGTAGAGAATGGGGTTCGGTCACCTGTGGGGAGTAAGAAGAGGAAGTTTTCGCCAATTGTTTGGGACAGAGATGATAAGGAAGTTAGCAATACATCTAAGAGTAGAATTGCCCCAGCCACTACCAGACTGCCTCCTCTGCCACTGCTTCCTAAGTCCAACCGTCAGCCACCCAAGATTATTCCAGACGGGGCTGTAAAAGTTTCTCCTGTGAAAGCTAGTAACCTTTCAGAATCTTCACCAGCTAAGTCTCCTGTGGATCTTGGGTCATATGTGGATGTCGTATCTGAGTCCCCAGTGGATTTATCTACTTCTCCACCTCAGGAGCAGCCATGGGGTCACTTTCAGGAGACTGAGGATGAAGTTTACATCCCGACACGGAATGTATCAGCCTCTCGATGGGCAGGTGATGTCAATTCCCCAGCTGACGAACGTGAAATTTCTGATGATGAAGAAATCCCTAAAAGGAGGAAGAAAATGTCTCTTTCTGAGTCGGTTGAAATGAAGGTACGCAGGGAGTCAGCTACTCCTGAGCCTGGGGAACTTAAGAGAGAAGGCTCTGAAGGAACTAGGACGAGGTCATCTGAATCTGATGGAGGTTACCGTGTTAGGTCTTCCAGCAGAGATGATTACCCTGCCAGTGATTCTGACAAGAGTGATTACATGGAGATAGATGAGGAACGCTATAGAAATGACACTAATGTTAGCCAGTCAGATACAGATTCTGAGAATGAACATAATTCTCATGATACACCAGAGCTTGCAGTCCCACCACAAAGAACTGTAAACATGCTTGAGGGGTGTAGAAGTGTTGATAAGTTTGAGAGACTGAACAAGATAGATGAAGGGACTTATGGGGTTGTTTACAGAGCCAAAGATAAGAAAACAGGAGAAATTGTTGCGCTGAAGAAGGTCAAGATGGAAAAAGAAAGAGAAGGTTTTCCTTTGACCTCATTGCGGGAAATAAACATTCTTCTTTCTTTTCATCACCCATCTGTTGTGGATGTTAAAGAAGTTGTGGTGGGGAGCAATCTTGATAGTATATTTATGGTGATGGAATACATGGAGCATGATCTTAAGGGATTGATGGAAACGATGAAACAACCTTTTAGTCAGAGTGAAGTTAAATGTCTAATGCTTCAACTATTGGAGGGTGTAAAGTATCTTCATGATAACTGGGTGCTTCACAGGGATTTGAAGACGTCAAATTTGCTTTTAAATAATCGAGGTGAGTTGAAGATCTGCGACTATGGTTTGGCTCGTCAATATGGGAGCCCATTGAAGCCATATACTCATTTGGTGGTGACTTTGTGGTACAGGTGAGCTGCACCTTATTTTCGCTTATCTTCCCTTCTCTATTTATGAGGAAGCTTTTGACTAGCTTGGTCTTTTATTTATTGGGTTTTCAATCTCCTTTTTTTATTATTTGGTTTTTTAGTTGCAGTTCATACATTCCGTTATTCAACACCATTGTTGTTGTGAAGCTGTTAACGATATGGTGCATCAGTTGTGTTTGGTTTCTTATAGTTGTGATGTTTTCTGGGGTAGACTGCTTTCCGAGCGAATTTTTTGCACTTTTATTTATTGACCTGATTGTGTTTTTTTTTGAGGGAGGTATTGTTGAATAAGAAAAATTAGAGGAATGATAACTACTGCTCCATGGTTGATTCTCAATGGTTTCCATTTTCCACATATTTTGTCATCTTTTTGATTGTCAAGGATCCTCTTTCTTAATGCTTGAGCTGTCATGTTTATAGGGCGCCTGAGCTTTTGTTGGGAGCAAAGTCGTATTCTACAGCAATTGACATGTGGTCATTGGGCTGTATAATGGCTGAAATGTTATCAAAGGAACCGTTGTTTAATGGGAAAACAGAGTTTGATCAGCTTGACAAGGTAAAATGAGTGTCTTTTTGCCCTTGTTACTGCTGCTGCTGCCGCTGTGGCTGTAAAAGTTATGTTTTAACTGTGGGCTAATTAGTTTTGCTTGGTCTTTTTATGGCTGCAGATTTTCAGAATCCTTGGCACACCAAACGAGACAAATTGGCCTGGGTTTTCCAAACTTCCTGGAGTTAAGGTGAACTTCGTCAAGCATCGGTAAGTATCTATTTCCTGTATTCAATGCTCAGCTAAGTTGATTGCAACATTCATGTTATCTTATTTTTGACTGTTTTCCCAGGCTTCCAGCTTTGGGTGATTCTGGTCTGCCTTTCTGGCCTCAATTGGTGACAGTTTTCAGTTACACAACAAATATATCACGTGTCTATTAACTAGTGATGTGTTTGTTTCAGGTGTAACCTATTGCGTAAGAAATTTCCTGCTACATCTTTCACTGGATCACCAGTTCTCTCTGATGCCGGATTTGACTTGTTGAACAAATTTCTAACATATGACCCTGAGAAGGTAATATATTGCCAATAACTTTGATATTTCTCCATATAAAATTTACTTCTGCTCTACTTTCTTTTTTGTTCGTTTCCCCAAGTTAAAATATAATTCTAAAGGCCTGTGGTAATGTAACAGCGAATTACAGCTGAAGATGCTCTTAAGCATGAATGGTTCCATGAAGTTCCTCTTCCTAAGTCTAAAGAGTTCATGCCTACTTTTCCAGCTCAACATGCACAGGACAGGCATGTTAATACTATGAAAATGAGATGACCAGAAGTTTAAATTTGTTTGTTAAGTTGCATTCATTTAAACGCATTTTCTATTCATGTGGATTTAGGCGGTTGCGAAGGATAATGAAGAGCCCAGATCCTTTAGAGGAGCAGCGAAGGAAGGAGTTGCAGCAAGGGGAATTAGGAACTGGTGGGCTGTTTGGCTGAGTGAAATGAGTTTGTACCTGGAGGCCTTTGATCTATGTTTCAGTTTTTTTTTTTTTTCCTCTCAAATTTACATGGTTGAGCCATTGAGGTGAGAGCCATGCATTCAAAGGAAGTTGCAAAACATTGTTTGCGAAGCGATCATTCATGCTGTTTTTTAGCAGGCACCTGTGAACCCCTGGGTGGAGAAACATAATTCTATTGCCTGTTGTGCTGTCAGATCTGTAGCAGATTGACTCTGTTTCTCCAGCTTGGCCGTTATATTGAAATGCATCTCTGACACTGCTTGCATCGCAAGGTGTGGAAAAATGGCCTTTTCTTTCACGAGAAGTTTCACTTGAAACTTGTGTATGTAACATATTTTCGTTGGTATCTTGTAAACAATTCTCTTAAAAATTTAGACTTTAGTTTTGAAATACCAGAATAATATGGATCTTACTACTTTTATCAGTTCTATCCTTTTTAATCATTGTATTGTGTTTGCAAGAGACGGTTGGTGTAAAGCGGAGGGGACGCTCTTACCTTTTCATTGAAGAAGAATTTGACCGAAACTATTCCACATTGAAGGTAATAATTTAAATCTGACATATGTGGAATGTAACCAAGGATAAGGATTTTGCTTTCCATCCATGTGGAATCTCCCTATTGAAAATGTCATACTAGACGTATGTATTGATATATTAGTATTGTGGGTTTAACCTTTAATTACTTGGATATTTGTTCTCACAATGTACTTCTCATACAACATCATTGTACTGTGGAGGAGCAAGTGAACCTGTTTGTGTCCATCTCATGTGCCTGGTTCTGTTGTAAGGAGTCATTTGTTGTTAGAAGATTGCCACAGTATTTTGTGTTCGGATTTATTAAAAGATAGCAATATTTCTCTGGGGTATAGATATAGATCTCACTATAGCAATATTTCTCTGGGGTATAGATATAGATCTCACTATTCTCTTTCTTTGGCAAAATCAATCAATAAATCAACCAATGTATGATTTGGAGGCTTCATATGGTGATGAGTTTTTAAAATCTGCGCACAATTTTTATCATGTTTACTCGACAATCATGGCATCTAAAAACTATTGAGTATTAATGACTTTTAATATAAATGGCTTCTTTTGGGGGTTGTTTGGAAGTTCTGGAAATGAAATTGTTTTATTGTCCTGTGCATGGCATGTTTAGATGCAGCTTTCATCATGATTGGAGCCAGCCAGCAAAGCTAATTACTAAAGTTGTGCCCTAGATATGTATTAAAAATAACTTCGGCTTTCATATTGGTTCAATAAGCATTTGAGTATTTGCTGGTATTTTCTGCAATGGCCATTCAAGATGATGGATTTTTAAAGTTATAATAAATGAGATATCAAACCTGGATGAGGAAATAAGATTTTGCTTTGATGTCCTAACATGGTCTTAGTTGATAAGTTAGTTTAACATGTCACCAGGCTTATAAAAAAAGAAAAGAAAAAGAAAATAGAGTTAAAATGTCAGTATGAAGTTGCAGGTTAACTTGCAAAAACTACATTAGAGTATACTAAGAAGTTAGTTATTCACTCAAATTGAACATATGCTAGGGATTACCAAATTAAAGCACAGTATTGAACTGACCATGCAGGTGTATGCAGTATTCATATCCTCTCTTTGAATAAGTTGGTACATGTTTATAGTGTAAGAAGGTTGCCCTCATTTGTTTTGTGAGTTATGTGGCTTGGATTATGTGAAGCTTCTATCATTCTGATTTTAAGCATGCAAATCGTTCACATGGAAGTTCTTGGGCAAGTATTTGTGGTTTTGGATTTCAATGGTTTTCTGCTGATTGTTACAATTATATCATAATGCTCGCCATTTTTTGTGGAGGTTGGTGTTTTTATCAGTAAGATTCTGGGTAGTTGAGAATATCCTTATGCACGATCTCTTTTATGTATATTTTCTCATGCTGTTGTATTGGACCTTTTGGAGCTTCTTATGTTATCTATTGAACTGATGAGTAAGTGTGCTGACACCTTAAATATGAATGGAAGGACAAAAGATTAGTTATTAATTCTGCCACCCAGCTCTCTTTTATGTATTTATGAGGTGAAAAATTGTGGGTTTTAATAGCTCCAGAATTTTTATGACATTTGTCTGCAAATGTCCTGCAGTATCAAAGCAAGCAGGTTGAGGAGGTTACCTGCACAAACTGGAATATATAGAATTTCCAATTATGTTAACGGTTCTTCAGAAATTGATTTTGTTCCTTCAAGCTCAGCAGAGGTACCTTAACAACCCTTGGTTTGTTATCTTGTGAATAATTGACATGGTCACTGTTTCACTGCTAGATCTAGTTTCAGTCTTTGGTATTGTCGTTTTACATAGTATAAAATTAATACTTATGAGGCATCCCTTTTCTTGTCATCTGTAAGTTCCATTCATGACTGCGTGCCCTTGTTATTGGAGAATTGTTTCAGCATGCATTGTAAAATTTGATAGTCCTGATGTTTGTGGCTCGATGGCACCTCAGTTTGGTTTTGTAATTGAATAGAAGCGAACAGAATCTGCCAGTTAAATATTGTTCAGAAAAAGTTGTGTATTGAGGGGAGACAAAGTTGCTTTTGCAGACGATACTACATCTTTTTAAAAGCAATAATATGACTTCTGTTTGGTGGTAGGTGAAATATCATAGCTTTCGTCCTTTGTAAATTGACTTGGTACTGTATCAATCTCTCTTAGTTGTGATTCATTACAAATTTGTAGTGGTTTTATGGTTTGTAGTTATCATGGAAGAGTGAGGTTTGTATTTTCCATCATTTCATGCAGTTCTAATAATAACTGAAGTAGTGGAAATTGCCCTGGGTGCATTTGGAATGTGTTCATATACAATTACAGAACAACATAGACTACTATGTTGAATTGTTTAGATTGTAGCATTAAAAAAGCCAGTGTACTTGCAAAATGTAATAAAATTGTTTGTGATCTTTGACATGTTTTGGTTGCAATAGTTTAAAGGGTATGTCTATTTGTCCAAAATTCACTTTTGGAAACATTTTGTTTGAAGCTGGATCTGGGTTTGAATCTGTTTGGCTTCTAGGCAATGCAATGCGCGAGGAATTACAAATGAGCCCTCCTATCATTAGCCTAGCCTCAGCGTGAATCTACAAATGAGCCCCCCTCTCCTCTGGGTTGGTATCGTCATTTTCAGTGAGTGGTGTTGGCCTGTAAATAGAATGATAGCATCAATACAATACTTCTTATATCCATCATGGTGTTGGTTTGTAGTAGAATTTCCAGAGTTGGACAGTTTCATTGATTCTTGTTGCAGCCAAATGGGGTTCAATTTGGAATACAGTGAGACAGAATCGAGGAAATTGCCGACATTGACCAATTGGTGTACCTTCAGAATTTTTTTTTTGAATGGTAAAAGAGTTTTGAATATTTTGTTTGTTATGGAGTGGAGTTATACCTCGCTTGACCAAGTGGTTGGTCAAGCATCCCGCAATAGTATTAGTGGACACAGGATATTTGTTGCGAGATGAATTTCAATCATTTTTTTTTTCGACTCCGCGTGAACGTGCATGGCTAATGTTATTCATAATTTAATAACACGGTGGGCCTTGGGTATATATGATATTTGAAAATAGTTCTGAGGAAAGTAAAAGTATTATATTTTTAAATTTTGAATTTGTCAAATATATTGTTTAGGAAATGAAAAGTTACATTTATTTTATTTTATTTTTTTATCACATTAAAAATTCATTCAAAATCGTATCAATGAGGTGGACACCACAAACACACCCCAGACGGTGTGGTAAAAATTTAGTATCAAGGTAAATATGGTGAGTGAACCCACTTTTAATAATTAACTATTTTGTTACATGCATATGGTAGGATAAATAGGAAGAGGGGATTGGATTGTGATATTGATATTGATGTTGATATTGATATGACCTTTACACTAATTTTTTTATAAATTTTTTTGATGGTGATGATGATGTGATACCACAACTAATGTATTATCCAACAAATTTTGAATATTCCATCTATATTATCTTAGTGACATGTTTACAAAATATTTATATATTAATGAAAAACATTTATAATTTAATTATTAATATTTATATAGTTTTTCATTGATTTGAAACTTGTTTTTGAAAAACTACACTGATGGATGTGTAGTTTTCCCTATTTTCTTAGCCAACAAATTTTGAATATTCCATTTATGCATTGGCCAGGCCTTAGTAGGTGATTTAATGGACCTTTTTCGAAGTAGTTATATCTTATACCACTGGTGATAAAACCGATAGTACTTAAAATATGGTGTCCAAAGTTGCTCAAAAAATATTTTCACATTCCCTAAGGTTTGGAAAATACAATTAGCTCTACATTTATTTATATAATTACACCTAAGTGTGTATCTTAATAGAAAAGAGATGACATTCATGTAACTAACCAATTATTGATAAAAGAAACATCAATAAAACAAACTAATTGATGTGAATTAAAACATCAAGAAGATAACTAGTGTAATTATGTTAAAAGTGTAAAGATAATTGCATTTTCTTTAAACTTTAGAACAGGAGTGTGATTTACACATATATAAAAGCAGTGGTGGAAGGAAAGAAGGACGGTGTCACGTGCCACCCTTAGTTTTGAGAATTTTTTTTGTGTGTGTGTGTGTGTCTTGTTGTCATATATAAAGTGTAAATTTTTTTTTAACATGTTTTTTAGTTAAAGATTTATTGTATTGTTAACAATAAGTAATTATTTGATATTTTGATAGCACTATGTGGTATTATTTATGTAATAGTTTAAACTAATAGTATAGCGAAAAATCTTATAGATTAGATATAATGAACTTATTATTCTCAAGCAGTTGACTGACTGCTTAGTGTGATTTGTGATTTCTCATGCTTTGAGTATCATGCAGGCAATGCTATATGGTATTCTAAGACTGTTTAATAATTTTCATTCAAAACACATTATTTATAAGCAATGTCATCTCTTTAATATTTTTCTATCAAATAAAAATTAAATAGATTTTATAATAATTTGTGCTATAAACGATGTGTTTTTATTTTCTAAAATTAAGAATTTTGATTCATAATTTTTTATGCTCAAATTACAAACTTACATCACCATTCTGCACCGAGCTATTCTACATTATTATAGAATTTTAATTTATTCCCCTTAATAATGAATATGTAATTTTTTATGCTTAAATTTAGCTCATAAAATTATTATTAGTTTAATGTTCATCATGATTTTTTTTAAATAAAAAATTATAATTAATTATGCCCCTCTAACTCAATTTCCTGACTCCGTCACGATATAAAAGACATGGTGCACACTTTCATCACATTGCATCTTTAAGGCTGTGAGGGAAAACAAAAGTGAGGAAAAAAAAAAAAAAAAAAAAAACCCCCTTAAATTTCATTTATTTTTCTTTTTTGTCCAAAGATTTACTCCATAAATTTCACATTTCAGTTACAATTAGTATTGAGCCAAGCTGCATCTTTATACATCATACCATGTTCAAGCCGTGTGTTTGCGCGCGCCTTTGCTCTCAGGACCTTTCAACACGGGGATTAGAGCGGCCTAAGAAATTGAGAACCATTTCACGTACCTCAGTCACATGAGCAAGGATCCTCTAGAGTGAAATTTTCTTAAAGTGTCACATTGTGTGGTTGAGATTTACTGGCAAGTCACATCAATTTTTCTGATGTGACTTGCTAGTAAATCTCAACCACACAAAGTAGCACTCTAGGAAACTTTAGGAAAATTTCACTCTAGAGAATCTTTGGTGCAGTCACATTGGCATTTCACATAGACAAATACAGATCTAAACCGACCTGTTAATCACAAAAAGGCGAGTATTGTTTCCAACTGGTGGTTATGAGCAGCCATCAAAAGATGTGGAAGTAAACGCTTGATTCACAATGATTTTGCCTCCGCTTGTAATCTTGGTCTAATCAGTGTTGAGATTTTGAGAAGTAGGGTTTGTGGAAGATGTGAGATTTTGGATTAATCACTCTGAAGCTAAAACTATGGTCTTCTCAAGCACAAAGAGGACTAATGAGAGCTGGATAAAGAAGATTGTGTTGATTAGGCCATGATCAACTGTCCATCCAAATATTGTGATACCCCCGGGATTGGTCTGCAAGTACATCACTGCACGGCCAATGAAAAATTTAACAAGAATGAGACGAGTGCCAACTGATGCACCATATAAAGTATGTAACTATGATTCCAAGAGATCAAATTCCTCCTTCACCAAGTTTTGACTTGAATTCAGAGGATCATCAACGGCTAAATTCAGTGACTTGAAGTCACTACCTAAGGAGTATGGACACTTTCAAGGAAGTAACATGTTGTGTGAGACATCAATATGACACAACATTCGTTGGACACTTTGTAATACTTAAAACATATATGAAACACATTACAAGTTTAAATAAAATAACTTGAAACCCAATGATAACAAAAACAATATAAATATATGCTTATTATCCTCCTTTAGTCTTAAAATTTTATTATCGCTTACTTAAAAATTCATATATAAGACATTTAATAATTATTTATCCTCATATTAGACCTATAATAAAAATATAAACTTGTATATTTTGCACATATTCATCACGAGTCGTGTCCTATATTTTTTTTATAAAAACTCCGTGTCGAACACGCTGTATCTACATCATGCCACATGTCTCTATGTCTATGCTTCTCAGACAAAAATAGTAAAATTTGATTTACATACCGACAGTTTGTCTCTTGTGGTCCGAGGACACATAAGAAACCAATTGTGTATTTGTAGGCATTGCAATCCAGCGAGTCCAAATCACTTTCTGAGCTGTTTATATACAATGAGCCCAATGAATTGGCAGCCTCCAAGTTTCCTATACTATTTGAAACTCTCAATTGAGATGCGTCACCAGAACCGCATGTCGCCATAGTGTGCCATCGACTTGCCAGTGATGCGATGCCCTGGGCTCGATGGGAAATTTTGGCAGCAGCATTTAAGCAAAGAATTATCCCCACAACCTGAACAATTGATGAGACCTGGAAAAACAGAAGTATAAGGCAAATGAAACCAAAGATTGAATGAACAGAGTAACAAGAATTTAGAGAAGCATGCACTGAATAGATGACCAATGCAAAGGCTCCACTTTCAAGGATGCAACCAAATATAGGAAAACAAATTTCTCTGGAAAAAGTTTTTGTATGAAATGTTTTCTGAAAAATGACTTATACCCCCACTGGGGGTCGACCCCCAGTGAGGTGGAGGGCCATGATTGGCGGAAAAAAACTGTTTTTTTTTTTTTTTTTTTTTTTTTTTTTTTTTGGGGGCCGGGGGGGGGGGGCCCCCCCCCTGGGGGGGGGCCCCCCCCGGGACAATTGATGAGACCTGGAAAAACTGAAGGCAAATGAAACCAAAGATTGAATGAACAGAGTAACAAGAATTTAGAGAAGCATGCACTGAATAGATGACCAATGCAAAGGCTCTACTTTCAAGGATGCAACCAAATATAGGAAAACAAATTTCTCTGGAAAAAGTTTTTGTATGAAATGTTTTCTGCCAAAACAAAGGTAGCGTTGATAATGATGTTGGAAAAAATGGTTTTTTGGTGACTTTAATTAAATATTAAAGTAGGTCCCAACCATCTATTGTGTTGGGTCCAAATGGATTTAGATACTTTGCAATGAGATCTTTACACCACAAATAATATAGCCAAAACCATTGAAAATTGAATGAGAAATTGCCCCATGAAATTAGCTTCATGAAAGAGTTAATGGGGTTTGTAACTTCTACCTTTATTGCAGAGTTTAATAGTGCATTAATGGAGTTTGTAACTCCTGCCTT